TGAAGCCGCGGGTCAAATGCAGCCCCGCAGCCTCGGGTGTGAAATTGACAAATAGTGCCGGGGCAAACGGCAGCGCAACCGCGAGTCAGCTCTAGTGCGAAATCGCCCGTAAGCACTGCATGAGAAAGGGGTGCAGAGGGAAGTGTGAGGCCAACAAACACTAACTAGATCCCGCCTGGCATTGCCACATCGTCTCAATCTCTGTCCTTCCCTCAAAGTTTTCCACTGGAAAATCTCACCAGCTCCTATAATTTATTATTTTTTTAAGTGCTAGCACTTTAAAGAGCAGACATTTTAGTCATTAATAATGTCCATGAATCAAATAAAACCCAGTGATTTTTAATATTAGTTGTCTTTGTTGTTTTAGAGTTTATTATTGAATAATTATTTTCCATGTGCTTCTTGTGGGTCTTGTTTGCGGACTCAGGATGAAGAACATATTGCTAGCTTGCACATACAGATGCCCTTTGCTTAGCTTGATTAAAAAAAAACCCACCACGCACAATTACCCAAGACTATGCGAGCCTTTTGGCAGAAGGTAATGTACACACCAGAGCTCCAATTATAAGGGGCCTTAAAAGTTGTTACATGCTAGCAGCTTAAAATAGTTAATTACCAACTTGGGGAGCCAATTCAGTTAATTTATATTTGTAACCAAAAAAAGAAAGTGTGAATTAGGCTTAAAAGGGGGAAAGAAATGAATAGGTATTAGTGCAAACTGTTTACACACACATTTCTGATTTAGGGGAAATGAATATTTAGACATAAGCACATTGGTATAGTAGAACATTTTGTGGTAGTGCATAGGTTGAGTGGTCAATATGTCTGCTTAGTATTTTGAAATCTGTGGCTCTCTCTTGCCTCTTGTCAATAGAAGAGACACACCAACTCTATGATTCTATGATTAGACACCAATATATTTTGTTTCTGTTCAAGCTTTTTTAGGTCTGGTGGCCTGCTTTTACCTTAAAGGTGGTGTTTTCACAGCATTCCTGTTCTTACTTAAAGCAACAGAACGTAGGTGCTATTAATTTCTCCTAGACCACGACATATAAAAGTAGAAAAGTAACCGTGCAGGGTCAAGATAAGAACATAAGAAACCTGCTGGATCAGACCAGTGGACCAGTCTAGCATCCTGCCTCACAGTGGCCCCCCAGTTACTACGGAGGGCCAACAACAGGACATTGAGGCTGAGACCTTCTGCTGATGCTGCTTCCTGGCACTATTCAGAGGTTTACTGCCTCTGAATGTGGAATTTCCTTTTAGTCATCAAGGCTTTTAGCTGCTGAGAAACCTGTCCTTCATAAATCTGTCTAAACCTGTTAAAGCCATCTACACTTGTGGCCACCACTACATCTTCTGACAGCAAATCCCGCATTGTAATAACTTGTTGAGAAAAAAAGTATTTATTGTTCTGTCCTGAATTAACTGCCCATCAGCTTCATTGGATGCCCTCAAATTCTAGCATTTGGGGAGAATGGGAACAGTTCTCTCTGTCCACTCTCTCTATCCCATGCATAGTTTTATATACCTCTATCATGTCCCCACTTATTTGTCCCAGACTCTTCAGCCTTTCCTCATAGGGAAGGTGCTCTAACCCCTCAATCACCTAGGTTGCCCTCTTCTTCACAGTGGTGACAGTCAGTGTGGTGTAGTGGTTAAAGTGTCAGACTAGGACCTGGGAAACCCAGGTTTGAATCCCCACTTGTGGCATGGAAGTTTTCTGGGCAACCTTGGGCAAGTCACAAACTCTCAGCCTAACCTACCTCACAGGGTTGTTGTGAGGATAAAACAGATGAGGGGGAAATTATGTAAGATGTTACGGGTCCCCACTGGGGAGAAAGGCAGGATATAAATAAAAACACATTCTTTACTTTTTTCAGCTCTGTAGTATCTTTGAGATTTGGTGGCCTGAACTGCACACAGTATTCCAAATGGGGCTGCACCATAAATCAATACAAGGGCATTATAAACATGCCCATTTTGTTTTCAATCACCTTCCTGATAATCTCCAGCAGAGAGTCTATTTTTCATTGCTGTGGCACACTGGGTTGACATTTTAATTGAGCTATCCACTATGACCCTAAGGTCTCATTTCCTCTCAGTTTCAGCAAATTCAGACCCTATTAGCATATACATGTTGAGATTTATTTGTTTCAATATGTATGACTTACATGTACCTACATTGACCTTCATTTGCCACTCATCCTATTTGGAGAGATGCTCCTGCAGCTCTTCAGTCTCCGTTGGTTTTCACCATCATGAATAATTTTCTGTTATCTGCAAACCTGGTCCACTGCTCTTAACCACTACAACAAACTGGCTCTCCTGGTGATTTGTCAGTTTCTAATTTGTCCATCAGTTGTAAGACCTCCTCTCTTGTCACCTCAATCCAACCCCAGTCTTTCAACACCCCCCTGAAATCAGTGGTTCCGGAGTGGGTAAACACTTCCCATCTTCCACAGTGAAGACAGAGGCAAAAATGTATTTAGTTTCTCTGCCACTTCCCTATCATCCTTTAATAATCCTTTCAAAGGAATGTTAGTGTTTGTCTTGATTTTAGCACTGTTCCTCAAATTCTCTTTTTACATGCCTAATTATTAACTTACACTTCTTTGTCAGATCCTCCTGTTCCATTTTGTTTACTTCATTATGGCAGATCTCTCACTTTTTAACAGAAGCTTTCTATGGCTTCCCTGACTTGCATTGTTAACCATGCAGGCATTTTTTAAGACTAGACAGTACCTTTCCTAACCTGGGCTTCAATTAGAGTAGTTTTAAATAGCTTCCAATCATCCTCTAGGGATCTGACTTGTATTTTCCTTTCAGCTTTCTTTCAGCCATTCCTCTAATGTTTGTGAAGTCCCCTCTTTTGAAATCAAATGTACAGTTTTGGACTTTAGGGGTAAGTTTCCATTGACATAAATGCTGAACTTCGCAGTATTATGGTCACTGCTGCCAACTAGTACAGCAATATCTACATCTCTCATCAGGTCTTCAGCCCTACTCAGAATCAAGTCCAAGATCACTACCCCTCTTGTTGGCTCTGTGACCAACTGTTCTAGTGCACAGTCATTTATGATATTAAGGAATCTCACTTCTACAGCATGACTTGAGCACATATTTACCCAGCCAATGTGAGGATAGCTGAAGTAACTCAGAATCATAACTTTATTTCCTTCTTCATCTCAAGATCCAGTTTGATCAGGTAGATGATAGTACACTACTACTTTTAAGTAACTTTTAGGGAGCAGTATCTCCACCCATATTGTTTCTGTCAGGGAGTTCATTCTCCTCATGTTTTCAAACTTATTTGATTCTGTTCCCTCTTTGATATATTTATGTATTTTACAAAATTTATATGCCACCTTTCTGCCTTTACAAGGGCCACTAAAGGCAACTGGCTAAAAAATGCAACACTTCTGCTGGGAGAGGGAAGCCACTCCTGACCCAACCTGTCCCCGGCAGGGGGGCAGACTGATCACAACAGAGGTTTCTTCTTACCTGGTCCCGAGCTTCTACGACTGGAAGGGAAGTGACTGTATCCCACTGATCTTCCCCATTCCACCATCTTTCTCAGAGATCCACTATATCTAAATTGTCATTTAGCCCCAAGCACTACAGCTCCCCCATCTTGGTTCGGAGGCCTCCAGCACTGGCATATACACACCTATAATACATTTCCCTCTCCAACAGTCCTCATCTCCCGGGGCCCTTTTGTCTCTGCACATGGCCCTCTGTTGCCATGCTCTCACTCCCAAGTTGTACTGGAAAATGTACATTAGGACTATCCCGGTACTTATGTTCTAAATAAAACATGCACTTTAGCTTTAAGAGTTACAAAGATCAGTCTGGTGAATCTTCTGGGAACAGCTGATACCAGAGCAGGTGTGAAGCTAAGCAGGTGTTGACCACATCAATTCCCCTAGCCTATCCAGGGCATTTTGATTGCTTCCTTTCTTGAAGGCACTCAAGGACCTTCCCCTATGTTATTCTCACAACAACCCTGTGAGGTGGATTATTATGTGTGTCTGGCAGAAGCACACCTCAAGGCTGAACAGGGATTTGAACCCCCTCTCATGAAGTTCTATCCCAATATTCTTACCATTACAACACACTGAATGGGATGGGGGACCAGTAGAATCCCCTATATAAGAACAACTATAATAAATGAACAAAAAGAGTCACAGGGCTAAACTCTCTGATATATGTAGCCCAACAATAAAAAAGGAAACACATTACATTTATTCAGATGTATTTCACCCTTTCTTTTCTTCTCAAGAGCTGGTTCTTGAACAGAGATTAAAGTGCTGAAGAATGATCAAGTGCAAACTCAGTCAAGAATTCTTTTTTGGCTTGAAAAGGGAATAATGATGGAAAAGCAAAGAAATGAAATATACAGAATGAGAAGAAAACTGCCAAGCCTTTAATTGGTCTGTACACAGAAGATGCCGGGAGGAGAGCATGGGGGGAGAATGTATTTGTGAGCACTTTCAAGCCTACCTGCTGCTTTCCCCACTGTAACAACCAACTGGGGGAAGCTTACAGAGTTAACACCTGGCCTAACATGTTCCCACTTGTAAACTACCATTTCACTCTGCTTTTTTTTAAAAAAAAGCTAAAGCAAACATAATGCATGTTTATCCATATCATTTCCATGAGTTCCGTGAACTAGCACCTAGTACTGTCACTAAATCTCTGTGTTAGTCAAGGAACAGAACTGAGAACAGAGCACCCTAACATTTCTTGTTAATTCAATGTCTTTATTAGGGCTGCCAAGCTGCAGCGGGGGATCTCCATGTCTTCACAGGATCCCTGCCGCGGGGGACAGCGATAGGCGTTGCACCGCCGTCGCCAAGATGTGACGCTACGCGTCGCTCTGGCAACGAGGCTGTTTGGAGTCCCATTGCCAGAGCGACGCGTAGCGTCACATCCTGGCGACGGCAGTGCAACGCGTATCGCTGTCCCCCGCGGCAGGGATCCTGTGAAGACGTGCAGATTCCCCGCCACGGCTTGGCAGCCCTAGTCTTTATACTCAACTTTGTAGTGGTTTTGTAACTTAATTGTCTTTTGTTCAGTGGGGCTTAGTTCTGAATACATATTTAACATTGCAAACCTAAACAGAGTTATACCTTTCTAAGTCAGTTGCAATCAGTCAGTTGAAATCCAAGCAGCAGGTTAAACTTAAAAATACATTCCTTTCAATCAGTTTTCACACTAGATATCAAATAAGAACCAATTGCTCAATTCACAACAGAATAGCCAACATCTCTATTATGCTGAAATAGCATATCAATATGTACCAAGTCACAGTATTATGTATTGACTTTGCATATGCCATGTGTGCTTACAACTGGACTCAGGTGGCAAAACAGTCTCAATGGCTTTGAACTCTTTATTTCTTCTTCATATCCAGTTGCTCTTCATAGCTGACTGGGATTATACCCATACATTCTTCAGTCTTTATCACTTCATGTTTCAAAACAGTAGACCTGATTACATCAATGTCACGTCCTAAATGCTCCTGCATCTCTGTAACAGCTGCTGTTGGGGAAACAAAGTCTATCAAAAAATACCTGTAATGAAAGACAAAAAAAAAAGTGTCTATGTCAACAATCATAAAAGATTTTTATACTATACAAATTTAAGTTCATACTGATGTTTGGACTTTCAAAAATCAAAGTTCTAATAATAAAAACATTTTATATGTTTTAATTGACTGAAACCCATCTAACCAACAATACACATGGTCATATTCCTTATGATCCTAGTTCTATGCACTACAGTTGCAACATGTTTGTTGCTAGCCTAAACCACTTTCAAAATGGTATACTAACTCTCCAAAATAAAGATTCTTTACCTGTAGCTTACATTAAAATGGCCATCTGTACAGTGACAAACAAATGTTCTATATTTGCACAGAGCATCTCTGGGCACTTTTTAGTACTCTAGCCAAGGAACTAGCTTTGTACATAAACAAACACATACATATGCTTCTCCTTGAGGGATGATTTCTCTTCAAATATACAGAACAACACCTCTTCAATCCAAATAAAATCAAAGGAAATAAATGCAACTAAGCAACTGGTCTTTCTTCTCCATTGTCTCTGTCCAGGCATACATATAGGATATTGGTGAACAGTCCTCCCTGGAAATGCTACTGTCTGCTCTTGAATGCATGTCCAGTGCTTCATGAATAGATCCTGAGGTTGGAATGGCATCCATCTACCCCAGGTGTTGATACTGAGCAAATATTTTTGTGTGTACTCACAGACTGAGGTGAGTTGGGTTAGTCGACTACTAAGAGCCACATATATCTCCAAGGCTCTTCCCCACAAGGAAGTCTTGGAGAAATATGTGAAATGACTGTATATTAAATGTTAGGCAATGTGCTTTTCACATAGAAAACAGGCAATGACTGTGCCTATCTGTGGAAGGATGTTTTCCCCCATCGCAAGTCCAGAACTTTTTACAAGGATTGCATGCTGGGAAAACCAAGGTGTTTAAAAAACCCTTGAAAGAAACAAAAAAGCAGGGTAGTGGCTAATTAAATTTACAATCAAAAGAAATAAATGCAACCTTTAAAAATCAAAAGACACTGAGGCCCCAGTCACACTGCAGGAAAAGCCGAGGCAGAAGTGCGGCTTTTTAGAGCTGCAGCAAAAGAGAAGTGTGGCAGCAGGATCAGACAGATCCCCCGAGCCGCCGCACATATGCTCCCCAGCGCAATCAGATGCTAGGGGGAAGCCACGGACAGGAGAGTGAGGCGAGTCAGCTGCGCATGTGTGCGCCTGCGCAGTTTGGCAGGGGGCCTCGCATGCTGCAGGAGACAGGTGCGTCGGCGATCACACAGCCACCCATGCCGCGGATTTTCCAGTAGGTAGTAGTGTTTTGCAGGGGGATTTTTACTCCACATCTTTGGCTGGAAGGGACGGGTTGGGGGCGGGGGCGCGACGCTTGCCAGATGTTGGCATCTGATCGCACTGGTTTAATCCACCCTCAATCCATCCGTTCCACGGGGCAATTCCTCCCATGTGACCAGGGCCTAAAGCTCTCAAAGGAAGAAACCCAGAGAGCATTCCCTGAGTTTCTATTCCTTACAGTAGTCTAAGGACACCTGAGCAGGAAAGAGCTCACCCTCTCTCAAACAATACACAGTTGATCTCTGAAGAGAACACCAGTTTCCTGACAATATGCCTAAAATGCTCCTGAAGTTACAGAAACCATGTGTAAAACTATACCAAGAGTACAAAGAAACACATTTTGTAGAAACACTGTTTTTCCTGGGAGATCACTATAGTGGTGCATGTGGAGTATGAACCCAGCAAAAGATGCTCAGTATCAGAGATCTATGTTACACAACAGGTAAGACAAGTGTCTCTCTTTTTTTTTTACTGTTTTGTCAAGAAGTGAATTTTTTTCACAAAAGGAAATAGTAAGAATAACACAGGGAGCAACAGAAACAATTCAAAGAACATAAGAGAAGTCATATTGGATCAGGCCAATGACCCATCAAGTCCAATATTCTGTGTCACCCAGTGACCAAAACCCAGCTGCCATCAGGAGGTCCACCAGTGGGGCCAGGACTCCAGAAGCCCTCCCACTGTTGCCCCCCAAGCACCAAAAGAAGCTCGCATCCACTGCCCTTTTACTTTAATTTTCAAATTAGTAAGCACAGAAGTCACAGTAGAAGACAGGCAGCCCCAATTTGAACTGCTTGGCATTCATTCAGAAACCCATCCCACCACACTATAGATTGTCATCAATCTTGGCAACACTGCAGTTTTTATGCACTCATAGAACTGCCCAAAATTCTTAGTATCAGGGAAGCGTCTTCAGGCTACCATCCCTATTTTGACAAATACAGGACTGGGCCCTATGATTCTTTCCCCTTAACAACAGAGCCCTGCTTGAGAAGAACATGCTTCGTCTTCCAGAGGTAAGCTCCTTGTGCTGGAGGAAGGATCTACCAATAGCAGAACAGGAGAAATCCATATGAATGAAATGAGATGGCAGACCAGTCATACACATGCAACATACAGAGGTTCATGAACAAACTGCAATTTTCTTGTAATATGAACAGCCCTGAAATCCTCATGCTCATGCTCTTCCTCCTTCTTCTATTACATGATTGAACTTTCCGGATCAGGAAGGTCTTCATCTATCTACAATCTGTTGTGACTGGCACATTAAATAATTGGAACTGTTTTTTTACCCACAACCTAGGTTATAGAAGAGGATTAAACAGGGCAAATCTAAGGAATTTCAGTTTCATTCACATTACAAAGAAGTTGTAGCTTGTTTGCAACATCTGAAAACAGTGACAGTCATGGATCACAGTAATCTGGCAAACAAATTCAAAATACTAGGATTCCCCATATGAATTCTGAAAAAAATATTAATTCTTATTGCCAATTTAGGGATTTACTTTTAGCAGAAAAAAATGACATGTTGCATTGTTTTTTTTCATGTGGTGCTTACAGCATTTGATCTTAACTAGGTCTTGCAGAAAACTAAAGAACACAGAACTTTAAGAGGAAAATTACAAAAAAAAACCCTCCACAAACCCTCTTGAAGGGACTTACTCCCAATGTGCCACTGGTAATGTCACTTTAACAGGCTCAATCTCAAAAAGGTTGGTTTAGATTAGAACATCACATTGCCTCTTCCTCACTATGGCAGGCAGTGGAAATTTCCACTGCTGTGCTGCTGATAACTAAAAGCAACATGGGGGATGGGAGAGACGAGCTATTGGTGCATTATCTTTGTTGTGCTAGAAATTTTATCTAAAGATATAAAAGTGCAGCACTGGGGAAATACAGGTTATTAATTGTATCAAGCATCCCTTTTCTCAGCACAAGAGTGAGGCCACAGGTCTGATCTGCATTTATGAACAAAAGGATTTGCTTCAGAAAAATGAACCAAAAAAAGATATGAACACATATGAAGCTGCCTTAAACTGAATCAGCCTATCAGTCCATCAATGTCAGTGTTGTCTACTCACACCAGTAGCAGCTCTCCAGGGTCTCAGGCAGAAGTATATATATTTTTAAAATAATTTTATTTTACAGAAAATGGTAAAAGCAACATATCCCCGAATATATGCTGGGATGTGATAAAACCAGTGCTGAGAGGTAAAATAATCTCCAAGGCCACATACATTCTTAATTAGTTTAGTGGATGCAGCCACTTGTCTGGTTTCTCTTCAGATCGCATAAATCTTTCGCCTTTTACAGAAGTATATTATATCAGCTACTGCCTGGTCCTTTTAACTGGAGATGTTAGGGATTTGAACCTGGGACCCAGTGCATGCAAAGCAGAGCCTCTTCCACTGAGCCACAGCCCGTCCCTGATAGCAACTGCTATTTAGGAGGTGAGCTAAAATTCTACTCATCAACAGAAAATGTTATCAGGACAACCATGGATGTATTTCTATGGAATCCAGGCAACTCTGTAATGCACACAGCAGTTTAAGGTTTGCCTTCATTTAAAGCAACAAAGTGAATGGACACACATCCTTTATTTGCTAACAAAGCGGCTGTAAAAACAGCTCCCAAGTCTAGAAGTCAGCAGCATCAACCAAGCAGGAAAAAAGAAATCAGGAAAATTCCACTGATTCACTGCAGAAACCAGTTATTTTGGTAATTATGCTGCACTGTAAATTGGACAGTTAAAATGTAGGACAACAGTATATTCTCCTGCCAAACAGTAGAACTAAAATATATGAAAATATCTTTAATATTCACTTAAGATCAGAGAAGTGATGGGGAGCTGAATATCTAATGTTATGTAGGCCATGTTTTTTTAAAAAAATGATTCTAAATATACTGAACTATTGAATTCCCAAAGGGGGTTTTCTTAATCAACACCAGAGAAGCACCTGCATCAAAGCTGTCTTTATCATCCTAGTGGGGAAAAAATTTCACATGACCTTGTGCGACTGAGTACCAAAGGAAAACTACTTAAGAGTGTTCCTACAATATTTCCATATTTTGTAAAGAATAAATTTCAGTTTTTCAAGTTCCACTGTAGTTTTAGACTCATACACAGATGCCTCATTAAATCAAGAAGAACATCTTTAGATCATAAGACTGTAACCTACAGAATCACTTGTCTACTGTCAGGCAAGAGCCAGAGTAGGAGTCTCAGAGGTACTTGGCACTTTTGGTAAACATAAGCATGGAGGAAACCAAATGAGCCATTTTAACATCTTGAATAACCTTTCACTTACAGATCAGCCCTATAGCCCATGGAATTCCATGCAAGGTAAGTGGGGCAGAGCTCTCTAAGTCAGCGTGACTTAACACAAACAAACAAAAAACAGTCAGGGGGGGGGGAACCCTCTGGAGCAAGGCAGGGCCCAATTCCAGCACTGGAACGAAGGGACTAGGGCCTTTTGTTTTGTGCTGGAATTGAGAGAGGGCAGTTGCCTTAGCACACTCGCTCACAAGACAAGGTTTTCAGTTCCTCTTTCTGTAACTATTGAATTAAGTATTCACAGACTTGGTGAACGGTACATTGGACCTACCTGAAGGTTCTTTCTCTTCAGTGGGGGAGAAGTCATCCAGGAACTGGT